GGCCTACTGTTTTTCTTTTTTGATTCCTCTCTTCCAAGTCTTTTTTGGATTTTTAGAGCATTGTTATCTCCTCTACTGGCTTTCTAGCTGTATTTTTTGAATTATATTTCTTTTCACAGCCTATCATGAATTATTGTGGTGCTACTATAGTAAATATTCTGTGAACTTTCAAAAGTATAATTCTGTTTGTAGCGATTCCATATTTATGTACTTACTGTGCCATATTTTATTTACAAATTCCATCAGATTTTTGTTTTAAACAGTTAGTAGTTTTTTAAAACAAGTAGTCTTTTAAAAAGTTGTCTTTTTATTTTAGTTTGAATACTTTTTTAGTGGATATAGAATTCTAAAAATGTATTGTTTCACTCTGTTAAAATTTGTCATTCCACTGTCTTCTGGTTTCTGAGGAGAAATCACTTGTCTTATTGTGATTTTTTTCTCCCCATGAATATAAAACATTTTGCCTTCATCTTTGCTTTCCAATCATATTAGTAGGATGAACCTAAATAAGGAGGAGGTTTGGTATATTTAATAATATATCACAAACACAAAATGTTTATTTATACCAACATCTTCAAAACCCTCAGCCCATTAAAGCATCACCTCGAGTCCAAAGTCTCATCGAAGTGTGAGCTCAGATTGCTAACCCTTGTCACGCAGACCACATAAGTCAAGGCAATCTGAAACTGAGTATGAACCATTCTGGGACAGAATTTTGGACCCGAAAAGCTATAAAACAAGGTATCTGCTCCGAAAATACAATAATGGGACAGGCATAGGTAATTGCTACAAATATTTGTACTCCAAAAAAGAGAGAATGGAAAGAAAAAAAATGCTTCCAAGAAAATCTGAAATCAAACAAGGCAAACTCCATCTGTTTCCAAGACCTGAGAATCATCTCTGGAGGGCATAGCTCCACTGCGGACTCACAGGTCTGCCTGTGGCCCAGGATTCCACACTCAGGGGTCCAAAGAGTCCCTGTCTAGGCCCAAGGCTCTCGTTCCATGGTCGTACTTGTGTTTTTTTCCCCATGAGGGGTAGCATGTTTTTTTTCATCTGAGTAGTTTCATCAGACTCTTTCCTACTTGGAGAATTTTGGGAATCTGATAGTCTCCTTTCATTTCTCATGCTTCTGTTCCTTTCAGTAGAAGTGGTCAAAGTTTCTTCTGATGCTACTTTCTCAAAAGCCTTGGGGGTTCCCCCTGTATGTCATGTGGATTTACTCCACTGGACTGGGGCATCCTCTACCCATCTTTCCTAGATACTCTCACCTCTGTGTCTGGCTTCTGCTGAGATGGGTGAAGGGATCCATGAGCCACGCAGCCTGAGTCCACAGAGCTCTCTATGTGGATGAACACGCTCAGCTTTTAATTTTCCCCAAAGCACTAGCAAAACACTGTCCGGCCGCATCTTTGGCTTTTTCTCTTGAGCGCACTTTCTTAACAGCACATCCTCTGAGTTCAGCATCTTTTGCAGTCTGACTAAGCCAGGACTTCCACAAGTTATCAAGTCCTGAGTCTTTTTGGCTTAACAGTTCTTCCCAGAAAGTCAGGAGGAGAGGCAGAAGGTGGAGGAGACTCGTGATGCTGATGGCGGTGACCGAAGGGCGGCAGTCGTCATGATAACGGGAATGGTGGTGACTGTGGCGGTGTTTGTGGTGACGATGGTGACAGCAATCCTAACTGATCCCTCCTGATAGCTTACGTGCTCTGATGTGTATTATTAGCAAAATCTTAGGATGATGATACCATTACTGCATACAGTTTATAGCTAAGGCAACGGATACAGAGAGAGGTTAAAGAATTATCCAAGGTAACAAAACTAGCATGAGCGCAGCCAGGGATCAAACCCAGGCACCACGGCACCATGTCCTTCACTTAACCCATCTCGTTGTGTTCCCCGGTGTTTGGCATGGGACAGTAGGGAGGCTGCGTGGCCTGAGGCGCCTGCTGAAGGGGAGAGTGACAGAGGTGGTGTGGAAGGAGACAGAGTCAGAAGTCTGAACAGAGTCACCGATGTGGAGGGATTTACAGGTCATACTAATGACTTCGATTTTATTCTAAGCAGGAGATGAAGCCCCTGAAAGATCTGAGCAGAATCAGGCTTGCATTTTTAATGAATAACTCTCCCTGCAGAGGAGATGAGGTATTTTACAGCAGGGCTGCGGACTCTTTTAAGCATCTATTATAACAATATAGGCACGTAATCGTATTTTGGATGCATTTTAAATGTAAAGCCAGTGCAATTTTATACAGACTGTATTTAGGGCAGAAGTTCAGAGACATGGCAAGGATGACTCCACAATTTTTTTTTTCCTAATGAAGTGGAATACTGTGAGCCATTTACTGAAAAAAAGGAATCATGCAAGACAATCAAATATGGTAGAGAAAATGAAGAATTATGTTTTGGATAAGCTGCACTAAAATATCTTCTGGCTGTCTATACCAGGATTTCAGGAAAGAAAAAACTGGGGATGCAGACATAAATTTAGAAATCACCAGCAGACAGATGGTATTTAAGCTTCCTCTCAGACAGTTAATAAAATTCTATTAAATTTGGGATTCCTGTTAAATGAGCAGATTTTAGCTGCTCTTACTAGCAAAAGGGGTGGGGGACTACGTGAGGTGATGAGCTTGTCAATTTATTTCCTTTTATTCTGCTTATATTCATCATAATCCTGGGTTGTATACCTTATTTTAATAATTTAAAGACAACAGCAGCAAGCATCTCTCCCTGCAGAAAACCACAAACTTGATTCTCCTCATTTTGGTCTTCTGTTTCTCCTTGGCTGGATTCTCATTTTTACCCTCAAATTTCAAGGTGCCTCAGGGCTCCTTGGTCCTTTTTTCTTTCTGTTTTTAAAGATACCTTAAAGCAATCTCAATCGATCCCAACAACAATTCACTTTTGATTTTAAAGATGCTTAAGATGATCAAAAGTGGCTGACCTAGATTAACCAGTTGAAAAATATTATAGCAAAATGGCAGAGTAGAAGCCAGCAGCTTCCCTGGGGCCCGGAGTTGAGAGAACTGAAAAACAACTGCTTAGCAAGGAGAAGGAGAAAAAGAGCTCCAGGAAATTGCTGGCCTGCTTTAAAGAACTCTCTAGCACCCACTGTACTGAAGAGTGGTGTAACCAAGAGTCGCCTAGAGAAGGGGTTAGGAGTGAACTCGGCTACTCCAGTGAATCAGTCACTTTCCAGTCATTGGAGCAAACACCCAGAGCACGGCAGAAGGGCCTGGCAGAGGACAGATGCTCACAACATGGTGCCAGAAAGCAGTTCGAGAAAGCTAGAGCTGGGGATGAGAATATCCCTTTCCTGGTCACACACCCAGGACTCCTGCCCGAAATAGCACCAACCCCCCGAAGCATGGAGATTAAACAGTTCACTTTTGAAGGTTCAGTGGATCACTGAAAAAAATTTGGAGGAAATTAAACAATGACTTCACAATACCCATAATGGACTCCCCGAGAAATAAATAAGGAAAACAATTTCATTCACAGTGGCATTAAAAACAAAACCAAAAACCGCACAGGGATCATGCTAACCAAGAGAATGAAAGACTTCCTCAAAGAAGTTTAAAATACTTAAACCAGAAGATGGAAAGAAGTACAAGTGATATATGAAAAAAATATTCAACATCTTTATTCCTTAGATAAATGAAAACGAAACTGACATTGAGAGTCCGTCTCAGCCCAGTCAGAAGGCTGTGGTGAAGAGCATGAAAACAGAAAATGCTGGGGGGGCTCTGGGAAAAGGGAGCGCTTCTACCCTGCTGCGGGGAGCACAGGCGCAACCACCCTGGGAGTCGGCATGGAGTTTCCTTAAGGCACCAAGACCAGAACCACCGAATGACCCGGCTCTACCACTCGCTGGTGCGCACCCCAGACAATTCAAGGCAGCATTCGAGAGTGATAACTGCAAACCCTTGTGTACAGTGCCGCGATTCACCGCAGCCAAGACAGGAAAGCAGCCCGGTGCCTCCAGGGGCGGGCTGGATGGGGAAATGGGGTCCTGTGTCCACAGGGGGACTGTCAGACGGAAGAAGGAGACACTCCTGCGGTGGGGGACGATGGGTGACGTGGAAACTGTCGTGTCGGGCAGAGCGAGCCAGACGGAGAGAGGGAAGCACCGTGGACTTGGATGAATATTTGGAATCTTAAGAAAGGACGGAAGAAGGTGGAAGGAGACTGTTATCAAGCCAGAGGAAGGGAATAAAGTGGGAAGGCGGGGAGGACTCAAGGAATTGTGGGCCTCGGCACCTATGAAATGCCCGCTGTGGCTTCTGTGAGACCTCAGGCGCTGCGGCCTCTCCTCCTGACACTGGCCCTGTCCCCATGTAGCCTGCCACCACGGCCTGGGAGAGGCCCTCCCTGGATACGTGACCGGCCCCTCTCAGTCTCCCTCCAAGGCCTATACCCTGTCCTGCCTTTTTCTGAGCATTCACCCCTGCAACAGCACTATTAAATATTCTTATTCTTGTTCATTGCTTATTTTTGTCTCCCTCTATCATAGGAAAAAAAAATCTCTATTTTATTTTACAGGACTTGAGAATAGGACCTGCTTGTATCAGGAATTCAGTAAATATTTGTCACCTGTTGGATTAAGAGATGTTACTAGCAAGGACTGAATGAGCTCAAGGGGACAGAAGGCAGCCGGCAGCAGTGCTGGCCGGGGCTCGTCTGGAGCTTGACACAGGGGTCCCTGCTGGGTCCCGGAAAGGAACCGGGACCCTGCCTGGGCTCCCCAGGGAGCTGCTGCCCTTGAGCCTTGCTTGATAGCCTCTGGCAGTTGGGTTCAGTTACAGGAGAGCCACTGGGAAAATCCTGCTCTGTGGGACCCATTAACTTTGAAGGGCTTGCATAAAGGACGCCAACTCCCCTGACTGCATTGCCCACAGCTGGACTCCGAGTAAAGGTGCCAGGGTCTATTGTGTGCTGTCGAGGGGGACGCAGGTCTTCTCGTCACAGCGGGCGTCGCTGTGCAGCAGGGCTGTCCTCCTCACGCTCCTGCCTGGTCACCACCGAGCATCAGGGTGGTCCGGACAGCGTGAGGGCAGCAGGTACTGTCCACGGCCCTGCAGGAGACGCTCGCGGCAGGAGCCCTGGCTCTGACTGCACCAGGGAGGGAGACAGCTGGGTCTCCCTGGGCTGCTCCCTCCGCGAGGCGAGGCTGGAGCTCGGGGCTCAGCCGGAAAGTCCGGGTGGCCTCAGTGAATTCCGGGGCGGCTCAGGGGAAGCCAGCCTCAGTGGGGAGGCAGACTTCGTTGCTTTGAGTGATCCGATGCTGATTTTCTTTCTAACAATAAGAAAGAGAAGCACAGATTTCTACATTGCCTTCGAATCGGAGGAGACTAGTCATGAAATCAATATTGGGTTTTGTAGAACAAATTCATTAATGAAGTAGGTATTGCTGTCCACTGGAACAGAAAAGGGAGCTCCGATAAGGCGTTTAGTCGTCCAGTATCACCTGTCTAATAAGTATAAATCCAGGATGAAATTCAGGTCTTCTGGTTTTCCTTCAGTGTTCTCTCCACTATACCATGAAGGGAGCTGCGAATTCATTTCTTGGAGTATCATCATTAATCCATAAGCATTTTAATGATTTTATGTGAAAACAATGTATCACAGTAAAAATTTTAAATGTAAAATCAAGCTGCTTGCTTTACATGGAGATCGAGAAAACATTATCTGGCTAATTGATGTTAATCTTTGGGGAAAATGTGGAAGTATTTCCATTGACCTCAGAAAATTTCGTTTCTAGGACACAATGAAGTTTGTTCCAGGAAAAACAGTTTAGGAATCAGTTCCTCAGCAGACATTTAAATTCTTTATTTCTATGCTGTGTTCTTTTATGAAGCTGAGGTTGCCAGTTGTGTCTTTTAATTTTCTTAAATCCATTATGTAGCTGAGCCCACGACTGAGCGAATAGCAACTCTCAAGCCTGCTCCGATCCGCACCTTCTCCGTCCAGCCGAGGGAGGGCAGGGTTTGTGCGAGATCATCAGTGCAGCGTCTGTCTAACACCAGAGTCGGGGACAGGTGAGAAGGAGGGACAGGTGACAGGAGCAGGATGTAGCTGGGAGTGCGGAGGAACAAAGTGTCCAAGGCAGAAGGAGCAGGAAGCAAAGAGCAAGAGACCATGGCGGGACTGAAAGTGCGGGGCGGAGCTGGGGCAGAGGCCCCGAGGGCAAAGGGGGAGGAAATGCTACAAGTGTGGCCGCAGCAAGGGCCCCTCACCGAGCGTCCCACACAGTAAGTCTGCAGGGCAGCCCTGTTCTGCCCTTTAAAATAACAGTCTGATTCATGGAGAGTCAGAGCTTTGCGCAGAATCTAAAACTGGTGCGGGGCAGGTCCAGGACTGACTTGAGGGAGTAGATGTCCCCTGAAATGTAACTAAGCTATATGGCGGTCCTGCTACTGAGACCCATGCTTTGTTGCAGGATGAGTTTTGAGGAGTTGATACATTCTTCCAGAAAGAGGCTGCACCCTCTTCTGCGGGCCTAGGCTCATACTGACTTTGGCTTTGGGTAGGACCCCGCCATCAGAGTTGTGTTAATGCATCCTTTCTGAAAGGGAAACCATCATTCACATACACGAATTCCTATGTGCGTGGCTCTTGCCCTAAGGTCTGACCTCATCTTGATAGGAAGCACAGTCTTTCCGTGCTGTCCCCCGCTGGGATTTGTCCCCGCAGATCTCAGACACGCGATGCCACATCTGGCTCGGCCCACAGATTGGGTCCGCTGTGCTAAGCCGCCCGCAGCATACTCGTGGGATGTTCATGTCCACACAAAACAGGAGCATTTTTGCTTACTTTGCTGAGCCCCAGATCTTCCTTAGTTGGTGTTGACAGCATACAGCTACACTAATCTTACTGAGATCTCTCTTCCATTTTGTTTTATCCTCTCTCTTTTCCCTTATTATTCAAATGTTAGCAGAGTCACCGCAACCCCTGGGAGCTGGCTGCTGTAGAGTAAGCACCTCAGGCACCGCCGGAGAGAAGAGGCAGAGGGGCAGCTCTGTGCAGCCAGACCCCTGTTGTGTTCAGGAGCATTATACCCTGGAAACATTTCATCTTTATGCATTACTGTAAACTCCGCGTTCATGTCCCCAGTTGTATTAGCAAATCAGGTAACTCCAAATAATGTCAGTGTGAAAACTGAATTCATGAGTGAGAAGTGTGGGCCTCGCACCCAGACTTACTGCAGATTCCCCACGTCCGGCACTCTCTTTTTCTTCCGCCCAGCACGCTGTTGGACTACCAAGCAATAAGAGAGTTTTCCTTATGAGGGCGTCCCCTGATAGAACTGCAAACTTGTGTATGCTTATTGTAAAATTTATAAGTGCAGAAGACATAAGTCATAAACAGATGGAGTCACTATCCCACAAAACCAGAAATACCTGTTGTTAATACCTTGAGATGTGTTCTTTAACTTTTATGAATAAATGTAACTATTTTTGAAACAGAAGAACAATGCAATGCTCCTCTGCAACCTACTTTTTCATGATCCTTTCCAATCTATTACACAGTTTTTTACAAGATCATTTAAAAATATTTCATGGTGTTCCATTACCTGGATGGACCACAAATAATGAGCATTCTCCCATTGTTGCTATGATTTTAGCCATTACATTGAAAACTGTGATGAATATTCTGGTCAACAACTTTATAAACATACTCAGTTTATAAGAATAAATTCCTAAGAGCAGCATCGGTGAATCAAAAGCTATGCATCTCTTCAGGTCTTTCCTTACACATTACTAAATTGCACTTCATAAGTTTTTATAACAAGTTATATTTCCACGAAGATATTTGGGGATATTTTTCCCTTGCCACTTTGACAACACCAACATTTTTCTTTCTCCTATTCCTGAAAGTTTGTAACCAAAAACTGATATCTCACTTTGATTTAATTTTATATTTATTTGAATAGTAACAAAATTGGGTTTTATATTTTTGTTTGATTTTGCATGTTTTGTTTTTGATTGTTCAAAGTCTTTTTTTTCCTGACAATAGCCTTTTTGTTGAATTGTAAAAGTTCACTTGCTATTCAATTTGCTTATTGTGTTTTTATTTTAGGTTTTTGTTTTTCAAATTACTAATATTTTGTTTTTTTCTTTTTATTGAGTTTATAGGTACTTTTTAAGTATACAGTACAGTTACAAATTACCAATATTTTAATGGAATCTGTCCTTTGATCACTTGGTTGTAAATGTTTCTGTATTCTGAGATACGAAAAATGTTCTATACTTTTAATTTTATTTCATTGTTTAAAATATTTGAATCAGTCCATCAGAGGTAGATTTTCATGTATATGCATTAAAGATGATTATTCCATTGTCCTGAAGCCACTGGCCTTCAGTGAACTGATTCTTTGTTATTGCTCTGAAATAATAAGGACACTTAATGCATATTGGATCTGAACTCTGTGCTGGGAGTGCTCTAAGTATTTTCGCAAAATAACTTATTTAAGTCTCACCACTGCCCATGGAGAGAAGTGCTTGTGTTTCTGTCCTGCTTTGTAGACAGCGAATCAGATGCACACAGTAGATAGGACAGGATAATAATTGACAGAAGGGGCCTCCAGCACCAGACCGCCCATGTTTAAATTCATGTTCCGACACATACTGGTGTGGTCTTGGGCCAGTTACTCAACCTCTCTGTGCCTTAATTTTGTCCTCTACAAAACTGTCACAAGGCCCCTCGCGAGATGGCCATTATGAGTGATTAAATGTAGAGTGCGTAGAACAACATTCAAAACAAACAACACAACAGAACCATGAGCCATTATGAGTGGTCGCTTCTGACCATTGTGCTGCATCTCCGGGGCTCTTCAAGTCTCGTTTTGATCAAATTTCATCACCTGTAATTCTTTGTGATCTACTTTTCGCTTGTGATAAAAGTTTTGCTACAGTTTAGCTTTCTTTATTCTCAACATTCTTTTATCTTCATTTGCTTGTTCTTCTGGGACTTAATGGGAATTGTTTGGAATCCATGCATTGCTCCAGAATCGTTTACACTAGAATGTTGAGCCTGTACACATATGTGCAAAGCTTCAGCATTTTTCTCCAATAGCACTTTCTATTTTTTAAAGATTTATTTATTTTTGAGACAGGGTCTCACTATGCAGTTCAGGCTGGCCTTGAATTCACTATGTAGTCCAGGCTGGTCTGAAACTCACAGTGATCCTCCTGCCTCTGCCTCCAGAAGGCTGGGATAATTGGTTATGGAAATCTTCCAGAACAATTTATTTTTCTTAAAATTTTGCAGATATTGTTCTGTTGTCCTTTAGATCTCTTAATTTACAATAAAATTTAAATCAAGCGTGAATATGTTTAATTTATAGATATTTTTCCATCTTAGATGTTTGCTAAATTCTTGATTGTTCTAATGCACAGTTCCAGCCTGCTGTTGCATGTTTGGATGCCTCATTGTATTTTTGTGTCAGAAAAAAACCCAAAAGTTTTCAATTCTCATTTGAAATATATAGAGAAATTTCAACTACGAGGAAATATAAAACTACTACAGATCAGAAAGGATTGGAAAATACGCTTGCCTGGTTTTCTATGCAGTCAAAACAACTGCCTGTTAACTGAGCATGTCATGAACAACTTAGAGTGGCCACAAGAGGGAGTCCTACGGAGCAAGGAACAGACCAGACTACTGCTACCCAGAGCAACAAGAACCACCTTTGCAGACACGGTAGTAGAGCCAGTCACAATTAATTATATACCTTATCCCTGTGCGCAGAAGCTGAAAATACAGGTAAACACAAATGCCGTGTCAGTGCTTGTCAAGCACGCTGAGAGGGCCGGAGTAACAAGACATCTATCTCAGCAGCAGCCTCACCCTGTCTCCTCCCAGCAGCACCTGCAGTGGAGTCTCTGCTCCTCTGGGCGGTGTCCAGGGACAAACAAGCCCAGCCTTCCACCCCGAGCTCACGGCCCAGCCCCGTGGTTGAAACTGGCTACTAAGCAGGTAAATTCCAACCCCAAACCCAAAGTTGAGAATCCCTGGTTTTCCTCCGACCAGGAATCTGCTTGGTCACGAGGCCTCAGTGTTTCTTGCCTCCCCTGTGTGCAGCAGACATGCCAGCCTGGACCCCAGTGCTCAACCAGTCCGGCCCCGCAGAGTTCATGTTCCGTGTGTTCACTGCCATCCCCGAGCTGCAGATCTTGCTGTTCCTCCTCTTCCTGCTGCTCTACCTCATGATCCTGTGTGGCAACGCGGCCATCATCTGGGTGGTGAGCACGCACAGTGCCCTGCACACCCCGATGTATTTCTTCCTGTGCAGCCTGTCCTTGCTGGAGATCTGCTACACCTCTGTCGTGGTGCCCTTGATGCTTTCCAACATCTTTGGGCCCCAGAAGCCCATTCCTGCAGCTGGCTGCGGGGCCCAGATGTTCTTTTTCGTTACCCTTGGCAGCACCGACTGCTTCCTCTTGGCCATCATGGCCTACGACCGCTACGTGGCCATCTGCCACCCGCTGCACTACAGCCTCATCATGACGCAGAGGCTGTGCGTGCAGCTGGTGGTGGGCTCTGTGGGCCTCGCGCTCTTCCTGTCCCTGCAGCTCACCGCCCTGATCTTCACCCTGCCCTTCTGTGGGCACCACAGGGAAATCAACCACTTCCTCTGCGATGTGCCTCCGGTCTTGAGGCTGGCTTGTGCAGACATCCGCATACACCAGACCGTGCTGTACATCGTGGGCACCCTGGTACTGACCGTGCCCTTCCTGCTCATCTGTGTCTCCTATGGGCTTATTGCAGCCACCATCCTGCGCATCCATTCAGCCGAGGGCCGGCAGCGTGCCTTCTCCACCTGCTCCTCGCACCTCACTGTGGTCCTGCTGCAGTATGGCTGCTGCAGCCTGGTCTACCTGCGGCCACGCTCCAGCACCTCAGAGGACGAGGACCGCCACATCGCCCTGGTCTACACTTTTGTCACCCCCTTACTCAACCCCCTGATTTACACCCTGAGGAACAAGGACGTCAAATGTGCTCTGCGAGGTGGCATGGTCAGCAAAAGGTCCCCCGAATCCAGCTGAAGGTTTTGTTAATCAGTCGACTCTAAGAGACAAACTTGTACCATACCTTGTTCCAAATTTTGCATTTGATATTTCTTCACTCTGTGCATGTCTGTGTCCCTTCTTTTGCTTTTAGAATGTCATCATCATACTGCATTGATCTTATTTGAACTTCAGTATCTCTTTAAAAACTCTACCTCCAAGCACTATTGGGGTAGGAATTCAGGATAAGTACATTTTTGGGGTGAGAAACAATTCAGCCATATGTGTCACTTTGGAGTCTTAATTTGACTGGTTTTGGGATCTGTCCTGCCAGTTGGTGGGTCATACTCCTAGTCATGTCTGAGTGGGCTATACTGGTGTGGCCTTGGGTGTCTGTGTCTGGTCCCTTACTCCTCCCTCTCTGACACTGTTCCCTTGCTCTGCTTCCTGATGTCCATGACCTAAGCAGCTTTGCTCTGTCATGCCCACTGCCATGATGTCCCTGCCTTGGAGCCAGCTGACCGTAGATTGAAACCATTAGCAAATTAAGGTTCTCCTAGGCTGTGGGTGATGGGCATTGTTAGCAACAAGAAACCTGAGTAGTACAGAAAATTAATACTGGAGAAGTGGGGTCATTGCTGTGACTGTACCTCAACATGTGGTATAAAAGCCTTTAGAACTCATTTGCAGGAGGAGTTTAAAAAGCTTTGGAGTTTGGGCTAGGTATTCCTTAGAATGCTATAAATAGAACTGGATGGATGATTCTTGTCAGAGCCAAAAGAGCATAGGTCGATAGGAATGTGGACGACAAAGGCCAGGCTGAGTAGTTTTCAGTTGTGAACAAGTACTCTATTGGCAGTGTTATCCTCTGGAAGAAAATTTGTCTTATTATTTTGCTTATGTTCTGAGACTTTGTAGAAGATTGATATTGAGGGCTGATGGGCCAATTAATCTGATAGAGGAAACTTCAAGACAGCTCAAAATTCAGGCTGTGGCTTGGATACTACTGGTTGCTTTTAGCCAGACTTATGGAGAGAATCAGTGGCAAAAAATAGAGCAATATTTAAATTTTGGCCTAGAAAAAACCAAATGGGATGTTGGGGCCAAAGGTAATGGGGCTGGGAAAGAGATTAGCACCATCAAAACTAACAAGGTACTTTGTACAAGGATAAGAAATAAGTTAACTTGAGGCATTTCAAGAATTAACAAGGCCACACTCATCACAGGGTTGAAGGTGCAAAAGTGTAAACCTTTTATTTAAGAGTAGGATTTCTTGGTCCCTTGCCTGAGAAGGGTACCTGGAGATTTGGTGCCACCGGACTTATTTCACTGTGTTCAGACATTCAGGTACTTAGAAAGCTGCTGCAGCCATGGTCTGAGTGGGCCTGACTACTGCCTGTGCTGGTAGCAGGTCCTGGCATTGTCCATGCAATGCTGGTTTTATCAGCAGTCAGAATGAGAGAGTAGTGAGGCCAGAGAGATATCCATTCAAATTTCAAAGGAAAGCCTGGGAGGCCAGGCGAGGAGTCCCTGAGAGGACAGTGCATGAAGCTGTAGGAATGAAGCAGAAGTTGCAGTGGTGACCCCAGGAAGCTGGAGATGCCAGCGATATCTTCTGAGGAAAACTTCAGGTTTTGAATGGAGCCAACCCAAGAGATAGGCCTTGTAGGTTACAACCCATAAGCTCACAGGCACAAGACACACAAGTCCTTTTGAATTTACATTTTACCACTGTGTGTCTTTGATGTCAGATATGGAGCTACAGGACTTAATATTTTCCCTGCTGGGTTTTGATCTTGCTCTAGTCTGATTATTTTCTTTCCCCCATTCCTCCACTTTGGAGAAAGTATATACCCTGTTGCCATTGTACTTTGGGATTATGCAACTTGGTTTTGATATTGACAAAAGTTCACAGCTAAGAGTTTGCCTTGAGTCAGAGAAGAGATTTTGAGTTGGACTTTTTGAAAATGCTAGCACGGTTGAGGGATTATTGCATTGCCAGTTGTATGTGGGATAAGTGTTTTATATTAGTCCAAATTATGAATTTGCTGTTGTTTTCATTTAGAGAGGAAGTGTGGTCTAAGGAGATGAGTTTATGTGGCAAGTTGAAAAGGGGTGGGACATGGCAGTGGGGTGACTGGCTTTAAGAACCGCCTAAAGGACTGGTAGAACACACTTGTGGGTGTGTCTAGGTGGATCACCGAGGTGAGAACTTGGGACCTGTGCCTGGTCCCTCTCCCCTTCTGCTCTGCACTCTTCCTCTGCTCTGCTCTGCTCCCCCATGGCCATGAACCAAGCAGTCTTGCTCCACCACTCCCTTCTGCCATGATTTTTCTTCCTTGGAGCAGCCAGTCATAGACTAAATCCAAGAACAATATAAACCCCTCTTCCTTTAAGTCATAACAAGAAAGCTAATATACCATAACCTAATGTATGCATTTAAAAGAGGTAAAATATATCATGCCGGGAAAGACTCTTTTTCAACTTTTCACCATCAAGTCATTCATTGGATGTTCTTCTGGACAAGAAGTAAGTCTCTTTCATGTTACACACTCAGAGTTATCACCTGTACTCACATGCATGTTCATTCAGCATACCAGACTGCAGCAAAATAAACCAAAGGGGCTTTGGGACAGCCTTGGCTTGGCTTTGCACCCTGCTTCTGAGTGGCCATCTGTAAGTGCATGGATGTGTTGTTATTGGGGTCATTAACGCCCACGTGACCACCCATGTGACCACGTCTCTCAGAGGGAAAAGCATTTGGAAAAGTAGATGACAGGAACTGAGATACCCAATCATCCAAGAGTGTCCTTTTCATGGTCCACATTTTATAAAGCAACTCTTCAGAAATGCTGTAGTGGTGGACCAAGTGGGTCATGGAATGAGTAGATTTTGGAGTAATTCTACTTTTTTGACACAATTTTCAGGAACTGTGTTTAATTAATCCCACAGGTAATTTCAGTGAAAACAGTTAAGCTCACTATCCTACTCTGCTTTGAGAAAGCTAAAAGTGTTTTAAAAAGCAAACTTAAAAACAAAAAATTGAATATACTGAGAGACGTGAACTGCATTAACAAATATGAATGTGGATAACCTCCTTGAGGAATTCCTGTAAATGCCACCATCTCAGGAATATTCATGTCCTACTTAGACAAAAGCAAAACAAAAGCAAGGATTCACAGAGAGGTTTTGCAGTGGGTCACTGGGGAGGAGACCTAAAGAGCTGAAATCTAAGGATTATCAGCAACATTCCAGGAAGATCAGTACAAAGTGAAGATAAATAAGCTTTTGTGTCTTAGTGTAGGTCAGTGTAGGAAGAAAATTTGACTTGCAAATGTTTGTTATGTAAACTGATTTGCATAGAGTCACTGGATGCTTGTCTCAAATAGATCTTTCTGACCTCTTTGGGAGGTCCTGACAGGAAGTGCTAAGGGCAGGACCTGGGGGGGGCAGCAGTCGCCCCAAAACTTTCAGGGATTCCCATGTAGGAAGGCAGCGGACAGCCCCCCAGGGAGAGACTATTCTATAGGAACACAGGTACTGTGTACTGACTTGTGTCTGTTCACCCTCCTATTTGGTATTTTTTTTTTGGTACTGGGGATCGAACTTAGGTCCTTCAGCTTGTGAGGCAGATGGCAGAACCTTCCTATTTGGTATTAGCCACTTCATAAAGCTTTTCCATATCCTGAATCCCAGAGCATTCTAAGAGCATTGTTTGTAATAGAGTGGGTACTTCATGGGACAAGCTTCGTGTCTCTCTGTCACTACTGTATAGTGTATGTTATATATATCTTATATGTAGTGTGTATATTAAATATGTATATACAGTTATATGTAGCTTATCTATATTAGAGCATATTAGATATACATATTGGATATGTACATATTATACATATATGTATATCTAGATATACCTTCATATATATGGAAAGGGACCTTTGAAATCTGCTTAAGAGCCTTCCTAACACAGAGTGTGGTCTTTCCAAAGCAAATGATAAAAGCGAGAAGCCACTAAGTCTTTATGATGGAGTCTTGGAAGTCACCTGTTGTCATTTTTCCAGTAGGTTATTGATTGCATAGGTCGGCACAGGTATAATGCGCTTTATTGCATTTTGTAGATATCATTCCCTTCTTTGTTCTTTGGAGGTTTCAAATTACACTTATTCTACAGTCCTTTTTGTTTTCATATCATTATGTTTTCATACAGATAGGTTCTGTTCTTTATCTAATGACTTATTTTGCAGTACTGGGAGTTGAACCCAAGGCCTCATGTGTGCTAGGCAAGCATTCTTCTGCTGAGCTGCATTCTCAGCCCATGCAGCTTTGGTTCACTTTCTTTACATTACAGTTCCCTGTATTATTATGTGGCTTTTGTTTGTTTGCCCAATTTGTGTAGTAGCTTTTGTTCCTTCCTTTAATATATTCTCTCTGTTATATAGTTTTATGGTTTTCCAATTCTAATGCAGGATCAGGTCTTATATTAGAAATCCATCTTTTAAGGGATATTATATTTGTATTGAGTATTTTGCTTATATTTATATTTGTAATTTCAGGCTTCATGCAATTATCGATCATTTGAGTACATTTTCTTGCCGTCTTTGCTGTGAGAAAGCACTTTATTTCTGGACACATCCCAAATAAACTGTTGGTGAACTTTCAGCTTCTATCATGGCCAGGTTATAAAGCCAGCAACTGGCTTCCTGCAGGGAAACTAGTTCCTATATTCTACCATTGATGAGGACATGGGAACACTTCATTTTCTCTACATCTTCACTGGCATTGGGTATTTTTAGTCTGTTTAAAATTTTAGACATTTAAATATTATATTATCACTCTGGTTTTAATTTTTATGTGAGTAATCATGTTGAAAACTTTCTTATGGAAACATTGGCCACTTGTCTTCCTTGCTTTGTCTCCTGCATGTAGATACTGGATATAGCATGGCATGGATTAGAAAATCAATGTTGTTAGATACACATTCTTTCTCATTTGATCTGTAGAGAGGTTATCTTATTTACTCCACACATCAGGTTTTTTGA